CCCGCTGCCGCTGTCGCTGCTCGCGCCTCCCGCGAGCCTTCCCGCTGCTCGCGCCTCCCGCGAGCCCTCTCGCTGCTCGCGCCTCCTGCGAGCCCTCCTGCTGCTCGCGCCTCCCGCGAGCCCTCTCGCTGCTCGCGTCTCTTGCGAGCCCTCCTGCGAGCCTTCCCGCTGCTCGCGCCTCCCTCGAGCCCTCTCGCTGCTCACGCCTCCCGCTGCTCGCGCCTCCCGCGAGCCCTCTCGCCTCCTGCGAGCCCTCCCGCGAGCCTTCCCGCTGCTCGCGCCTCCCTCGAGGCCTCCCGCTGCTCGCGCCTTCCGCTCCCGTTCCCTTTCCCGTTGCCGCTGCTGCCGCCGCTCGCCGCTCGCCGCTGCTTCCTCGTTTCTCCGTCAGCAGGTTTATACTGTTAATGTGATTATATTTATTAATTATATTATATATTTTTATATTTTTATTTAAAATTTTAAATAATTATATTTATTAATTATATTTTATATTTTTATATTTTAGCGCCTCGCTTCGCTCGGGCGAGCGCCTGGGCGAGCACCTAGCGCCTCGGGCGTTTTTGGACCTTGGCGCCTTTTGGTGCCTAGCGCTTTTTAAATCACTGGCAGCACTATGGCATATTCTTCAAGAGTACCCGCCTCTACATCCTCTTGCCCCGTGTCAAAGCCTTCTGAACTCAACTTCGCCTCCGCAAGTTGAGTCGCCCTAGTTCCTTCGTCAAATGCTTCTCTGAGATAAAGTGCATGTGCCTCGAAGCTCCCTTCGTCTTTGGCATGATGCAGGATGAGTCCACTCCATCAAAACAAGGGACCCATAGAACGACACGATCTCGCTCTTGCCTCTATAAGAGTTCATGTCTTAGACCTCTGTCCAAGGAAAGCTTCGTGCCTCCGCTCCATGTTCTACCTTCTATGCCAACTTCCTTCATGCGACTTGGGTCCTTCGCCAAGTTACACCCAAGTTGCTCCGCTCCTTAATTTGCATTGAGTTAATGGTGGCTCTTGCGCCCACCATTCCACGGGTCAGCCCTTTATTGAATCTGATCTCCATTTCGGCTCCAAGTGTGCCTTCATTTGTGTTGCCTTAGGTCACTCCCCCACTTGATCTCGCAATGCATCCCCCAATGCATTATCTCATACGAGATCATGTGACGACTCCTCGCCACTCGCTCGATCCGTTAAGCTTTGTGGGGTTGTTATCTTGAGGTACTCCTCAACATGTGCGGTCCGTTGCACATGATTATTCCTCTGGAGAACCGTGACTTATCCCTCCAAGGTATCTGTCCCATTAGAGCAACTTCTCTCTTCGCATCCTTCCCTCTGAAAGTTTCGGAAACTACCATCCCCTTGGATTACTCCGCCAGTCCGCCTTGCTAAACAAACTGTGCATTGTTCTGCCCCCGTAAATGCACTTGCTAGATTGAGACTCCTCACCAATACAGTCCCTGTTGCACCCCTCAAGTCCTAGCAACATACTAAACTTGCTACACACTTCAACCTCCTACAGACGTACCCTTCTCAAACTAAAGAGAAAGTTTCAATGCTCCATGGAGCCGAGTTTCGGTCGCCTTGGGATGGCCTCGAACATTACATCGTTCGCATACAAGCCCTTGCATAAGTACCAAATTCTTCGAGTTAACAATTCCCCTCACCACTATAAGCTTTGCACAACTCTTTCGATCGCTGAGCAACCCATTCCACCTTGCATGGTCTCATCCTTTACCAATCACCTCGCTTGCCTGGAGCACCATCAAGCAGTGATTTCAATAGGCGCTCGGGCGAGGCGAGGCGAAGCGAGGCGAGGCCCGAGCGCCTTGCTTCACTTCTAGGCGGCGCGCTTCAAAGAGGCGCCGCCTGGGCGCTCGCCTGAGCCCAGACGCTGGGCGCTTCGGGCGAGCGCCTGGGTTAAACCAGGCGACCGAACCAGCGTTTTAGGTCTGGTTCGATCTCCGGTGCTTTAGTTGGTTCAATCAAACAAACTAAAGCACCGATATCAGCTGTCGTTGCCCAACCCTAACCCTGTTCGTCGTTCACGCTACCACTACCGCTGCTCGCTGCCGCTGTCGCCGCTCCCGTTCCCGCTACCACTGTCGCCGCTCGCCGCTCCCACTGCCGCTGTCGCCGCTGCCACTGTCGGCGCTCTCGCTGCCGCTGCTCACTTTTACCACTATTGCTGCACCCACGGTCATCCCTTACACTCCTCTTCCTTCTCTTTCGAAAGTATACTGTTAACAGTATACTGAATACTATTAACAGTATACTAGTAACAGTAATGTATTTGTATTTATTAGATTAATAATATATTATTTTGATTTTAATATTATTAAATAATTATATTTATTAATTATATTATATAGTTTAATATTTTAACGCCTCGCTTCGCTCGGGCGAGCGCCTCGGGCGTTTTTCGACCTTGGCGCCTTTTGGCACCTAGCACTTTTTAAATCACTACCATCTAATATGGTTGCCAACGTCGAGCCATAACTCAAACTCAGCTATCTCAACCTTTGTGCACTACACATTCTTCCCAGCTTGTATGTCCTCGTAGTGCCTCTTGCACAAAGGGTTGGCCATTCCTCTGAATGTCAATCTCAAATGCCCGCTCCTCTGAGCGACTCCTTTTTCCTACATCTCCATACCTATTTTCCCCAAAATGGTCGCGCGTGCTGGCTGCCCTCAACGCAGCCCCACTAGGTCCCTCATGTTTGCATGCCAAGTGTTTCTATGAGTGCTTGTCCCGCTCTGATACCATATGTCACGCACTTAGCTGGTTTTGCCTAAGTCATGGGGCACCCTTGCGTGTCCGTCCCAGTGATTTAAAAATGCGCTAGGCGCCAAAAGGCGCCAAGGTCCAAAAACGCCCAAGGTGCTAGGCGCTCGCCCAAGCGCTCGCCCGAGCGAAGCGAGGCGCTAAAATATAAAAATATATAATATAATTAATATAATTATTTAAATAAAAAATATACTATTAAATTAAGAAAATCGAGTACAAAATCACAATGTCATATTAATAAAAAGTCTCAAAAATCAAAACAATAAAATTTAACATCAAATCTATTGAGTTGCTCTGTACACTTGTCATTTATTCTGAAACCTAACAATAATTTTAAATAAAAAATTAATAGTATTAAAATCAAAATAATATATTATTAATCTAATAAATAAAAATATTATTATTAGTATACAGTTAGCAATATATTGTTAATATACTGTTAACAGTATAGTGAGAAAAGTGTGAGAAGACCGAGGCTACTAAGACAACGACAGTGGTAGCGAGAGCAGGAGCGGCGAGCGATAGCGGGAGTGGGAGTTGCGAGCGGTGAGCGACGACAACAACGATGAGCGACGATTGTGGCAGCGGCGAGTAGCGACAGTGGCAGCAGCAGCAGAGAGCAGCGACAGCGGAGAAGAAATCTCGACGACAAATCGTGAGTGTTAGGGTTGGGGAAGTCGGGGAAATCGTGTGAGGGAGCCTATCGGTGATTTAGTTGGTCCGATTGAACCAACTAAAGCACCGAAGACCGAACCAGACGTAAAACATTGGTTCGGTCGCCTGGTTTAACCCGGGCGCTCGCCCGAAGCGCCCGACGCCTAGGCTCGGGTGAGCGCCTAGGCGACGCCTCATTGAAGCGAGGCGCTCGGGCCTCGCCTTGCCTCGCCCGAGCGCCTATTGAAATCACTGGTCCGTCTGCAATGGTCAACCTCCCCGAAACCTCCTATGGTCCCTTAGGACCTACAAAAGAGAAAACAGGTTAAAGAAAGCGTCTCACTTGGGATCCACAAGAAACATTTCAGTAAACACTTCATAGCCAATGCAAATTATAAACAGAATTTACAAGCTCTGAACGATTGCACAACAAAAGGTCCAAAATTATCCACTACAGACCGAAATCCTCACAAGTGCCCACATGACACAACCTTTGTTTGCAAACCTAGGACGGCCACCAAAACCAAAGAAAATGAGGCTGCTAAGCCTACTGCAAGCCCTTTATATGCTGTGCAAAGCATAAACAAAACCGAAAGACACGGACAAACATAAAGCATTATATCGAACACCACGTTTACAATTTTGTCTATGATAGTACGTACACTCTCTCTGCTTTGTTGCACCTCCCTACTACCTTCTTTCTCCCTTCTTCCTCCGCCCCTTCCCCAGCAGAAAGGTACCACAAAACAGTACCACAGTATATACTAATATATCTCATGTCGATACATCAACATGGACTGAACACAAAGCAATCCGATCATTGGTTAATATGGCTGCAGTACCCAAAATTTCATTCCTTGCTTCAATCTATTCAGTACCCATTAATTTCAACTCTTGTGCTGTTGATGTAAGAAATTTCATAATCCTTTTTCTTTTTATCTTTCTACTGGAAACTATGGTGGCTATAAAAAGAGAAGGTTAAAAGCTCAATCATTGACAAACAAAGTGAATGTCTATTTTATTGCATATAAGCAAATTGCGCCCATGTTTTGTCTCCCAGAATGTGTTTAGGGTACATTCTGGTCCGACAACATACCGGTACACAGATCGCCCGCTACCGGGCGGAACGCTCAGTAGCACCCCGTATCGGACGATATAGGAGTAGATCGGACAGTAACAGGCCCGACATAGCTTAATAACGATCGAAATTTCGACTGTTTCCGCCTAGCACAGCTCGGTAACGGTCAATTTCGATCGTTACCGCTCGACACAACTCGGTAACGGTCAATTTCGACCGTTACCGTTCGACACAACTAGGTAACAGTTAAAATTGACCGTTACTGATATGTAACATTGCTCCAACAATCAAAATGACCATTGAAGCCCTTTCTCATGGGTTTCTAAACTCATCTTCTCCTCTATTTCACTTCATTTCACTCTCACACTCTTTTAAACTACCTCAAACTCAATTTTTCTCATATTTACACTCTCTTAAACTATACAAAGAAACAATTTGTGAATTGACAATTCAAATGATTTTTCTGTAGATATTTCAATATTTACAAAAGAACAATCTGCAACGAACCGAAATACGAACCTTGCACAAGGCTATTCCTCAAAGCCCGAAAAAGATATGTGATACTATTCTTACCTAATTTAGGTTGTTTTACTAAACTTATACTATTACTATATTTATTTCTAACTTAAAAACCCTAATACTAACTTTTTTTTATTTTCAAGTATTTTTAGAGGATTTTGCGCCTAAATTAGGAGTATCGCTCGGTACGCTCTAGCATACCGCTCAGTACATAGTACCATACCATACCGAGCGAAGCTCAAAACTTCAGTACGGTACGAAATTTCAATCCTTGGTTAAAATGATATTTCTTTATGGTAGTTGATCCATCTCTAACAACTGAAAAACTATTCCTAAGACCCCAGCACATCCTAACACCTTTATTAAAAGCATTATTAATTCCCAAGACTAGTAGGCAAAAAAATCCATGTCGTGCCACCTTCTATCAAGGATAAACAAAAACCATTAAGGTAGTAATGGTGACATCTTCTGACCTGATCAACAAGCAACAGCAGAAGCTTATCGGCATCTTCTTTTGACAGACCTTTCTCTGGTACTATCCGCAACTTTGGGCACTTGTGAGGATACCCAAGTAAGCATCTATTACAAGCAACATTAGATCATAAATTCAAGAAAGATGCAGCAGTGGTTGGCAGATGCTGCTGAAGGAACATTAGAATATAAATAATAATACTAACCTTACCAAAAGAAGAGCAGAAACATGGAGATCTTCACAGCCCATATCATTTGAGTAAGGCCTATATCACATGTTCATTAATTGGATTAGAGACAATAAACTATCAGTTCATAATTTGCACATCAGGTTAAAAATGCCCATTGAACGTTAACTACCTTAGTTTTATAGAAAAATAAGTATGAGGAGCTTTAGAGATAATGTTGAAATCTTCCTGAAATATTGAGGCCCTGAAATAGGAAGCAAACAATGTATCAGAACAATCACCAACTAAGAAGTGACCCATGCCGCATAGGTGGTGGTCCTGTGCATTGGGCTGCACTTTTTAACCAACTAAGAAAGAATTGATAATAACATTAAAAGACATATTAAAAGAATCATTGCATTTTTAGGTTATTTCCAAATATTTTAATCTCAAGATCAATATCTTGTTGAACAAAATCGGGGGATTCAGGAGTTATCAGATAGACATACAGGTAAATGCTCTGGAGACATACATACAGATGCAGGCAGGGAAATAGTTCTAACGATATGCATAGGTAAATGTACATTATGGGCCTCATTAAATTATTCCAACCAAAAGGCCCTGGGCGTCTTGACCACTACATGCTCTCAGGAGAGCCTGCTGGCTGCATGCATTATAGGATAACAGAGTTACAGAACCATATGAAATCCTTTCTTATACATAAACGGTGTTGTTTACTCATACTCTCTCACCATTCGTTTCAATTCAGAACAGCAGCTCTAAGACAAGATTTGAGTAAAAACCCCATCGGTTGACTATTGTTTGACTATTAAAACAAATAATTGAAACTATAATGACATTAGTATCATTTAATTGCTATGATGATAAGAATATTAAAAATATTTCGTATGCGGTCAATAAGGATTTCATGCTTATTTTCGTGATCGCATAAGCAACAGGTATACATGTTTAGGTATCTTTCTTCAGCAGTTGGTTCAAATTCAAGCACGCGAAGGATCATTTTTCACTAAAAGGAAAAGAATAGAGATCGAGGATTATCGATTAGAAGACGTTCATAAGTTAGTGAATCGTCTCCTATAGCATTAATACACCAGCAGCTTCGAATCGAAACAAAGTCACGGAGAGAAAGAAAGAAACCTACAGTGCCGTCAACTCATCAGCCAGAAGATCCTGATCGCCCTCGGCACCAGCCGAGCGATCGTTCAAAGGGGCCCGGCCCCTGGTCCGGCCACCCCCGTTCCGTTTCTTCTTCTTCGAGCTATGTCCCATCCCTCGCAGTTCCACCTCCCACTCCGAAGCTCATGCTAGCTCAACAACTTGAGATCCTTCCTCCGCCGCCTACTCTCTTCCACCCAAAACCCCGCAAACCCTAACAGGAGAGTTTCAGGGGGTGATCAAGAACCGTGTGAGGGCAGGCGACACGAGAGATCCGAAGATGGAACGATGCTCTGCCAAGGGATCGACGGGCTCCGATCGGAGCCACCGACGAGAGCAAGCGTGAGAGGGAGCCGAGAGAAGCGAGCGGGAAGGAGGGAGGTGGCTTCGGAAGGAGGTCGCGATGATCGTTTCCGCGTAGGAGATATCGTCGTGCGGTCTTCCTTATATAACGGGATCATCGAATTCAACAACCGTCCGTGTTACAATGATACCGGGCACGCTACCAGTTCATGCCCGGTTGATGACGGCAATGGCAATATTGAAATAGTTAATATGTTGTCCCCACAACACTATTGGGTTTGCATATCTCTTATCAAAACCTTGATCTTATCTCGCTAATTATAACTCGGTAAAAATCCATTTCACTTCAGTATATTATAAAGAGAATTAAAATCAAGGTTTTCTAACATACATTTTGATACTAATACTTGATAAAAACAGTAGATATCGATCATTACGTACTGATCCAATCAATGCACAAGAAAACTCAGCTTGAGAAGGGAGAATAGATCATCTGGAGAGACAGAGAAGCAGAGGTTGACGTCTTACATGTGGAGTTGGAAGTCGGCCCATGAAACATTTATATTTGGATGAACAGAAAGAGGGGATGGTGTCATTACTTCGCTATGCTATGAGCTTATAATAATATAAAACGATATCGGTTAGCTGCAAGATTTCTCAGAAGCCCAGTCTCCCTTGTAATCCTTTCTCCTTCAATGATAGTCTCTAAGCAATCATAACAGCACCGAAAAGGCAGATGAGTCCTTAGGCTATATTAAAACAAACACCTACTGTTTAAGAGGCAGTAACAGTCGGATTATAACATGTTCGTCCGAAAATTGCAAAGAAAAATCGATCACCATTAATGGACAGCCAAACACAAAAAAAACAAAAACAAAAAAGAAATGGTGAAAAGACACCGATGGTTTCGATGTTCAAAAGGGAGCTCAGGCGATTACACCTACTGGTAGATCTACGAGTACCTTTAGTGAGCACATTAAATGCATTCTGTATCTATATCCATATGAGAGGAGAAAAAATCAACATCTATAAAATGTCTGACGAATAACCTCTAGAAGTTGGCTCAAGAATTTGAGAAAATATATACGGAACAAATTAGAGGCCTCCAATCTCGAAATCACCAGAAGAACACTCACTTTTAACCAATGTAAACTTGAAGAGGAAAATACCAGAGACTTCCAAGAACCTTACCTGAGGATATACCCATGCCACAGAGATGCCAGAAAAGGTTCAGGCCGTCTAGGATGGTATTTAGACGTACCTCCAAAGCCCTCTTCATTGTTTGACTGGCCAAATGAGGAAGAATCCGCCCACTGATGGAAGAATCACTTGCAACGGAATGAGACAACCCACAACAACTATGAACATAAATTAAAATTTCTATATAGCTTAATTGTTCTTGACAACGTTTATTACCTGCATGTAGACCATGATATTGTCCAAGAGCAATAAATTGCTAGCACACATTGACAAGCTTGAAGAGCAATAGATTTCTACATGAACAGGCAGAAACCATGCATCTCTTTTCTTCCCATTCCTATGCTCTAGGTCTACTTTCCTGCCTGTTATTACCCTTCTTGTATGCCAGGTTATAAACTAGAGTGATATGTACATAGCATCATGGAGATGTTTTCTATTTTCACAGGCCAAACAAATTCAAGAGCAAACTACAGAAAAATGCTGTCCATATTGCAGGAGGATCCAAACTGGACTGGATTACCTGCGATGCTCACACATATGGCACGTGTTAGTAGACCTAGGGTTTGCATAGGTGCAGTGGTCACACGACCAGAAATTGATGTTGTCCAAGTTATGGGTTGGAGCACCAGATCCAGAGCTGGTCCCGGCTGTTTTGATCTTTCCGCCCTTACTTTTGTTGCCCAAGATCTTGGAGCTTAAACCCTGGGTGCATGTGGTCTGGCTGTTGGAAGAGCCGACATCCTTCAACCCAGTCTCCAGGGCTCGAACAAGATTCTCAAAGTAGTTCCTAGTTACACTGGGGTAGAACAAACACCAATATGAATAAAAATTGTCATAATCATTATAATTAGATGTTTTTTCAGGATTCAATTAACAAAACCATGCTCGAACAAGATTCTCAAAGTAGTTCCTAGTTACACTGGGGTAGAACAAACACCAATATGAATAAAAATTGTCATAATCATTATAATTAGATGTTTTTTCAGGATTCAATTAACAAAACCATGCTACAATAAGGGCATATACAGCAACTACAGGCACAATAGAATAACACAAAATGAGATGCTTAAGGGATGAACTGGAAAAAGTTTTCTGGTCACTTGACAAAGTAATTCCCGAATTGGATAGGTGCAACTTCTAGTATGACAATATACAACTTGATTTTGAAGGAATAAGAGATCAAATACTACATAGCTGAATGACGATGAATACTAAATGCCCAACAGGTGATCTGGATTCCGAATACTGAACAAAAATGGAAATATTCCTTGGCAAATTCAGGAACTTTGTTTTGTCAGTTTTTTGCTAGTTGACAAACCTAATGGTGTCAGTTATTGCTCACACATCCCTAGAAATCTTAATTTTTTGGCCCACAAACTTGCTAATCTAGTAAAGACTAGTAGGTTACTAGGTTGTCTCAAAATTGGGGGGCTAATCCCAATTTTGTAATTTCATCCCATGGTTAATATATTTTTCCTTCTGAAGAAAAAAATAATTGAAAATTCGTTTCAGATAAACCATCCCCATCTTAAATAATAACAAATGTCAATAACTCATCAAATGTTCATGCTACAACATCCAGATCTCACTATATCATAGAGTTGATCAAATATAATAACTATAAAATTTAATACGAAAAAGCTGTGTTATATGTTTCAGTCTCTGCAGCCCAAGCAATATATTGCAAATGAGCAACAAGTGTAGCAAATAAAGAAGTAAAAGCATTCACCAGCTCCTGTGAGAAAATGACAACAATACAACCTAAAACTGTACCAACAAAATTCTCATATTTCAGGCTTCCAAATTGATCCAGCACTTAAAACAACTAATCTCATTAGGAATTCTATAAAAATTTATAATAACGAAATAAGAGCAAACCAGGGTTTGTATTGATGTGCACCGCCCGATACTGGCAGTAAATACTGATCCAATAGGATACCAGTACGCAAGCCGCCCTCTACTGGGCGATACTGATCACTTGACCTCGTATCGAGCGATTCGAGGTCTGTACCAGACGGTAATGATCGAAATCCAATAGTTATCAACCTATACTGATTGGTAACAATCGGATTTCAATCTTACCGATCAAGGGCTGATATTGCCTTATTTTAAATGGTTAATTTGACTGTTTGAGCCTTAGAAAAAGATTTTTAAACCCTTTCCTCTCCTCTCTTTCAACTTATTTATCTCTCTCAATCTCTTAAGCTCTCTCAAACTCTTTTTCACTCACATCTCTCACTTATTCTCACATTTTCATTCTCCTAAACTCAACAAAACTATGATTTGTGAATTAGATCAAATTTAGGAGTCTAATTTGAGAGGATTAAGAGGAAGAACACTCTTATCAAGAGGTATATATTCTCTTTCTAGATTTTTATTGATTTATGAATTGATTAAGCCTATTCTATGTGATGTATGACTTAATATTTAATATGTTGTTTGATATGTTTTTGATGGTAGACTAGTGTTAATTAGGGAGTAATTGAGATCTTTAATGTTATGATTAGTAGGTTTAATATTATTTTTTTCAACATTAGATACTTAATAGGTCAAATCTTTATATTCCACGCATACTAAGGATTGGATCATATGCTTATGATGGTATAATAGGTTTAATTAGGTTTTAATTATATTTTTTTTAATGCTATGAATAGTGATTTTAATGATGATTTAATTAAAAATTAATCGATATTGGGTCAATTTACCTTATTTTTGCTAAAATTATACTGATTTTATATTTATTTCTAACTTAACTATTTTTCAGATTTTTTTAGGCTTTTTTTATGATTTTGGACATACCGTCGATATGCTCTGACGTACCGTCAATACACGTTGATATGTACCATACCGAGCAGGGCTCGGTACACCGGTATGAACCGAAATTACAATCCTTGGAACAAACACTTGCTGCATGTAAACAGAACTAGTTTAATTCATGCTATGAATAATTTATACTATCAAAAGTGAACCTACCAAGTTTTGTGCCTAAATTGGGAAAATAACTATCTATATGATATCTACTGAAATTTTACTTGTACCATTTAATATTGAGGTGATGCCGAACAGAAAAGAGCCAATTGCACTATAGTTACAGAATCATGCTGCATCTCTGCAGTCAAGGGTTATTGCAAAATTCGCAAGTCATCTATTCTTATAATCTCAAATATCAAAAATAATGCCAGAGAAGGCATGCAGTTTCACCAGTGAAAAAAGACAACCCAGAAAGCAAAAAAAGCAAGTCTTAATTGTAGATTGGTCTCATCGCCAAACTAGTTGCCAACTATAGATTTTTCCAGCAACACATAATACTCTAAGACTATGTTGTATCTTTTTAAGTAATTTACTTTTTCTTTCCTAGATCTTCCCTGCTTAATCCTATGGAGCCCATACTAAGTAAGCTATACCAGTGGCACCACTGTAGATTGATATTTTGTGGGCCATAACACCTGAGGATGGCCTTTATCAACGTAGACACACAAATAATGGCTTGCTAGTTTGTCAGCCAAAAATCAATTTTCTACTTGATACCCAACACAATGCTGATCTGATTGAATTTCAATTTCATTGATTCTATTTTCATCTATAAACAATAAAAGTTAATTGCCTCAGTGCCAACTAATCCACGAGCCTAATCAGCTTTTATTTACCAATACAAAGATGCCAACACAACCAACTAAAAGAATCAGTGGGAGACAGAGAAATCCTTTTTCTCCTAACATTGTTTGCCACAATGTGAAAGTGGCCTACCTGGATGGTGAACATAAACCCTAAAGTACATGCTTCTTATCAAGCAAATTATTAGATAAACCTACCTGGTCAGTCCAGCTAGTTTAGTACGGAACTCATTAAAGTTGTCCACGGGAGATTCCGCATCAAGGTAGACTTGGAGCTCCTTCTCCACACATTGATGAAGTCGCTCTA